AGATACAGATATCTATCTTGTGGGGGAAAGGGAGAATGATAGTGGATTTCAGCTAGATGTTTCCATCTTATTTTTCTTGTTATATTGAGATTGTCACTGCAGAAAATCTTTACAAATTCTCTACTTAAGAAACCTCAGGGCTTCCCTGGTGGCGCAGTGGTTGAGAGTCTGCCTGCCGATGCAGGGGACACGGGTTCGTGTCCCGGTCCGGGAAAATCCCACATGCCACGGAGCGGCTGCGCCCGTGAGCTATGGCCGCTGAGCCTGCGCGTCCGGAACCTGTGCTCCGCAACGGGAGAGGCCACAACAGTGAGAGGCCCGTGTACCGCAAAAAAAAACAAAAAAAAAGACACCTCAGCTTCTTAACAAATACTTGAAACCTCATAACATAAAAAGTGATATGAACATGTTAATGAATACTCTTTAGTTAATTAAATCTTGTAATTTATGCTTTATCTTCAGGATTTTTCCATTTAAAAAGTAATCAGAGGGCTTCCCTGGTGGCGCAGTGTTTGAGCGTCCGCCTGCCGATGCAGGGGACGTGGGGTCGTGCCCCGGTCCGGGAAGATCCCACATGCCGCAGAGCGGCTGGGCCCGTGAGCCATGGCCGCTGAGCCTGCGCGTCCGGAGCCTGTGCTCCGCAACGGGGGAGGCCACAACAGTGAGAGGCCCGCGTATCGCAAAAAAAAAAAAAAAAAAAAAGAAATCAGGACAATTTTAACAAGTATGTTTCTCTAACTCAATAACGATTGAGTAATAATTCTCTACTTCACATTCAGTACTGTAGCTTGGAAATGCAGTAATGGGTACCGTTGCTACTACATTTACCATCTGACCATATGGTATAACATACATCTGCCAAGGAGGAAAGACATTCCATTACAATAACAAAAAATATAGGCACAGTCTTAAGGCAGGTAAGACATCAATTAGATAACTTCTTTCTTTTAATTTATCCAAGTATTACCACGTAGCATATATATATATATATATCTCCTATATGATGCTCGGCACTCATTTTTTAAAATATTTATTTATTTATTTTTTTACTTTGGCTGCATCGGGTCTTAGTTGCGGCACACAGGAGCTTTGTTGCGGCACGTGGGCTCTCTAGTTGTGGCCCTCATGCTCAGTAGTTGCAGCACGTGGGCTTAGTTGCCCCCGTGGCATGTGGGATCTTAGTTCCTGACCAGGGATCAAACCCGCATCCCCTGCATCGGAAAGCGGATTCTTAACCACTGGACCACGAGGGAAGTCCCTCGGCACTCATTTTGACACTGAAAACTCAAAGATGTGTGCAACTGGGTCTCTGGCCTGGAGCAGTGCACAATCTGGCAGGGGAAGTCATGGCGGCTAATAATTATCATAGGTCATAAGTGTAATAGAAGTGTATACAGGCGGTCACAGAAGTACAGAAGGAGAAACATACCTACCAGCTGGAATCCAGGTGATGAGGTCAGCAGATAATCACAGAGAAGATGGTCTTTGAGTTGAGTGTGAGGTCTTGGTAGCAAATACAGTGTGGTGGTTAAGAGAATAGAGTCTGTAGCCAGACTATCTGGGTTTAAGTACCAGCTCTACTACATATCAGCTGAGGAACATTTGGCATGTTATTTAACTTCTCCATTCTTCAGTTTCTCCCTTGGTAGAATGGGCATAATCATTGGTCATAGTTCATAGGTTGAAGTGAGGATTATGTGAGTTAGAATGTGTCATGGGTTTAAAACAGTGCCTGGTACATGGAAAGCCCTCAGTCAGTGTTAGCCAGTCCTCCAGGGATAGCAGAATGAGAAATGGCAGGCTTGGATTGTTAAAACTGAAATATGAGGTGTATTTGTGTGGGAGGTGGTGGAAAACAGCAAGGTGAGTGGACAGATTATGGGGAGAGAGCCTTGTATGCCACACCAAACAGGCTCACGTTTATGGAGCCCAAGGAGAGTTTTAAGGATGAAATTCAGATTTGTGTTATAGAAAGAGAACTCTGGAGCGGTGGGGAAAGAGTAGAGGCCAGAACATTGGTTAAGAGGCTGTTGATGAGAAGAGAGATAATATAGGCTTGGCTGAGGGATAGAGAATAGAATGCAAATGCAAAGTTATTTAGGTGGTAAAACTGGTGAGGTTTGGTGAGCGATTAGATTACGGTGGATGAAGTAGGACGAGTTGTGAATGACTCTTAGATTTCTGGCTTGGATGATCTGGTAAAAAGACAGGAGGAAAAGCAGGTTTGGGGATAAGATTTTGGATTTGTCAAGATTGACAGGCCCGTGGAGTAACCAAAATTAGTGTGTAGGCCTGCCACTCAGGACCTTAGAAGTCAAGATTTAGGACTCCTCAAGACACAGGTAGTAGTTGACATTGTGGGAATGTGAGTGAGAGCATGACACAGCTCATATACAGGAAGAGATTCAGGGATAGTTCTGGAAAGCCCACGATTTAAGAGCCAAAGAGAGCTGAGCCAGCCAGGGAGAGTGGTCACAGAGGAAGGAGGAAACACAGAAGAAAGTGGATCATGGAAAATGATGGAGAGGGAATTTAAGGAAGAAGTGTTCTAATGCAGGAGATAGGTCAAGTAGAATGAGAACTAAGTGCTGTTCGCTGGAGTTGGCAATTAGGAAAAAGAGCTTAAAACCCATGAGGTATTACCTCAGTGAAGTATAACAGTATGGGGAAAGAGATACAGTGAATCCTCTTCATTAAGACCCTAGATGTTAGTTGATATTTCAGGTCAAATGCTAGGTGAATTCCTGGAGAACATCCATGGATGTGGTCCAGCTTCAGGCTCGCTCCACAAGGCAGATCTGGCCTGTCCTGACCAAGCTGTTTTCCCAGAGCCTAGCAAGGAGACTGGCACATTAATATGTATACACTGAAAGTTGTTGAGAAGAATGGATGTATGCTTAGTGGTGGCCCAGGATCTGTTTTGGTAGAGTCCCTGGAGCTCCTGATACATGGCTGCTCCAGGAAGTGTTAGGAGGCCCCCAGGAGTTGCCAAAGAAGTTCTGCTGTTTTGATAAGAATTTCAAAGCCATAAAGTTATAGGGTTGATCTGGCAGATTATGCCAGGGTTGGGGGGAAAAGGATGTTGCTGAGTACAGTGATAACAGGTGAGGGTGATAACGCTTCCACTCAGGTTGGTTCTGTTCTGAAACACAGATTTTTTAGCTCAGTCTTAGATGTGATTTTCTGATGTTTGCTTTATTACCTGTTTTTCTTATTTCCTTCCTTTGTGTGTGAAAGTGTCTCATCTCTTCAATTGGATAGTCGATTTCTTAAGGGCAGGGACCACTCCAAAGAGTCTTTTCTACTTCCTGCAGCACATACTTGTCCACTTGACCCCCCAGCAGAGAATTCTGGTACCCTCAGCCTTAGCAGACTTAGAACCAAAATTAGGACAAGCCTGACATCAACCCTCGGTAAAAAAAGATGTTCGTTACTTCCCAAAACTTTACCCTAGGAAGGTTGAACTAAGTGGATATTTAGAGAAAGTGGTAGGCGCTGATATCTGCCACCAGTGTGGCATGAATGGGGCCCTGAATCCTCAGCCTTCCTCGCCTGGAACCCTAGGGCCATCCCACCAGTCTTCCTGTGGACACAGGTCTGGTTAGAGTCTGGGCCATTCCAAAGGGCATTCCAGCTCCCACATGGCTAGACTAAGGTCTCCTCTGGCATGTTCACGTGGGGGACCCGACGCAGTCCAGACACTGGACTGGGAGAAGAAAACACTTGGGGGTGCAGGTGTTTTTACTGTTTTCTTCCGGTTTTTTTTTTGGATATTTATGGGGAGGGGTGGTTTGGGACGGATCTAGCGCCGCAGTCCTAGCCCTTCCAGTCGCCCCCAGCTGCATAAGTTATCAGCCACAGCTCTTCCCCTCCTCGAGACAGTGTAGACACGACCCTGGCCATCGGACGGCGGAAGGAGCGCGTAGGAAGCGGAGGTGGTGTCGCCCGGCCCCCCACCCGCCGGGCGCGGCGGGAGGATGTCGGCGCGCGCAGCGTGTGCGTCGCCCCCTGGCCCCCCCCCGCGCCCCCCGCCCGGGGGGACCCTCGCGCCCAGGGGAAGCCCCGCGCGGGGCGCCCGCCGCCCGCCCCAGTCCCTCCGCCTCCCGGAGGCCTGGGGCTGCCTCTTCGGGCCGCGCTGGGGCCGCCCCGCACTGCGCATGAGCGGGAGCCCGGCGAGCCCGTGAGAGGAGCCGCCGCCGCCGCCGCCGTCCATTCGCTGCGGAGCCGGAGGAGGAGGGGAGAGGCCTGGAGGACACCAACATGGTGAGGCACTGCGGCCGCCCGCCCCGCCGGCTGGGGGCCGGCGCAGCCGCGCACCCCCGCCCCGGCCGTCCTCCGCCCCGCGGCGACCCTGCCGCCCCGAGCTTCGGCCCGCGGCCTCCGTCCAGCTCCCCGGCGGGGCTCTCCTCCCCGCCTCTCCCTTTCTCCTTCGCCCCTTCCCGCCCGGGCGCCGCTGCTACGCGAGAGCCGAGGAGGCGGAGCGGAGCCGGGCCTAGTCGGGAGCCCCGGGTAGTTTGGGGCGCGGGGAGCGGCCCCGGGTGCCCCTTGCTGGGCCCGGCGTGGTTAGGGGAGGCGTTGGGGCGGGGGAGGGGATGGGGCAACGGCTCCGTCTCTGCCCGGCCCCCACGCCTGCTCCATTGTGTCTGGCCGGGGACCGGGGTCCGGGGTTCCGGGTGAGGAGCCTCCCCCCGCCCGGAGCCGGGGCTTCCCCCTCCGCTCCGCCGGGGAGAAGGAAAGACTTTCCCGGCTCTCCCCTCCCTCCTCCGCTCCGGCTCCAACACCCCTCAAGTCTCCAGGCAGTTTTGCTTGGGGCGGGGTAACAGCCCTGTTCCTTTCTCCATCACCTCTCGATGCGCCCCGTAGTCCTGGAAAATGGGAGTTTCACTGGCCAGTTGGTGGAGGTTATATTTACCTCTCTACTGAGAACATGGGAGACCGCTGAGCTTGGGGGACGTGGGGGGAGGGGGGAGTACGGAAGTGCAACCTGTTCTCATTTCATAAAATTAGGAGAAACAGACTTGCTACCTTTTGGGCACATATTTTATTTCCTTGGGGTGGGAGGAGTAATTGCTTATTATGCCAGTTAAAAACCATTCGTGATGTTTAAAAAACAGTTTGTCAAGTTAGTCCCCTCTTCCTTTTTTGTTTGGAAAATGTCTTACAAGCTTGAAGACGTGGTATTCAAGTTATCTGTTGACATTTTGGTAATTATGTACCTGATTCTTGGACATTCTGTTTTTCAGAAGCTATGTTTAGTATTATAATCTGAGCATGAGTTGAATTCCATGCAGGTTACTGTATGAATAGACAGTAAAAATGATGTTCTTCTCTTTTTGCTCATGGGGAGCATAAAGGCCTCTTTGAGGAGGGTGTATGTGTGTGTCTGTTAAGGGAATGCCCCGGTGTCTTGTTTTTAGCTGGTCTTATTTCTGCTGAATGACACTTACCTAGTCTCAGCCTCCAACTTGGCAGAATTCTGGTGTCGCGCGTATGGATATGTGGTTTAGTTTGCCATATACTCAAGAACTTAGGTTCTGTGGTAAGTTCCATGAAAGTTTACCATTTGTATTTGTAAGAAAACTTTGCCATAAAGTACGGGTGATTGTTTAGATTGATGTTACAGTGTTTAAAGATCCACCAGGGCGGCTAAACAGTTTCCAATTTCTTAAGCATTTTGACGGTCATAGACATTACTCCTGAAGTTTCCAGACTCTTGGCTTGTAAGAGTATGCTTGAAGTAATGAAATGTAATTCCCTGGTAAACACTCTGTGAGAGCATTGAAATGTGTTCCGCTCATAATAGTCTCCAATCAGCATCATCCTCTGGAATCCAAAGTGTTGATAATGCTCGTTACTTGTTACGAATTCAGGAGTCATGTGGTTCATATGAGAGTTCAGCTTGTATTGGAGCTTGTAAGCTTCTGTCCTTTTACTACTATTAAATTAGCTAGTTTTGGAACTTAGCCATAACTATTTAATTACACTACTAAAGACAAGATATCACTAATTAAAAACACTTTTTGTGGCTGAACTCAGATCATGTCACTAGAATTGTCTTGGTATGCTCTTGTTAGTTTGGAAACTAAATTATCATGGACCCTAATAGAAGTTAGGCCATAAGAATTTTCTAGTTAAGTTTTTCATTGTAAATTTATTTTACTTATAATTATTTCTTGATACAATTTTGGGGCTAATGTTTTTCAGTGTGTGTAATGCAGCCCATTTCTAGAGCACATGTTATATTGTCAATTCTGGGGCAAATTTAAATGACAGGATATCTGAACATGTTGTGTAAGAAAAAAAAATTGTTCATGTAACCTACCTGACACCCACGTAGAAAGACCAAAAATAACTCCAAAACTAGACAATATTCTGTTACCCCTGAAAATCTTTTTAAAAAGTGTTTGATTTTTGGCTTGTTTTCTTATTTGTAAGAGGACAGGATTTGAGGATTTCCAAAGTTACATTCAGCTAAAAATTTTGATTTTAATTATTTTTCTTAGATGTGTGAGAAGTTTGTAGACTGTGTAACCTACTAGATTTTTATAGACTCACAGCATCATAGAATTTTTAGACCTGAAATGGCTTCAGAGATCATCTGATTTACTCCTCTTCCCTTTTACAGAAGAAGAAATTGAAGATCAAGGAGGTTTTGAGGTTCAAGTTTGCAAAATTGTTAGTTGCAGAACTGAAACTAACTTTTCCTGGTTTTACTATTTCCCCCAGTATTTGTGGTACATGTAATCTTTTAACTCACATGAAATCTAAAGAAATGGTTGAAAATTGGATTTGAAATTAATTTACTCATTTAAACAGAGGGAAACCCAAGTGTTATTAATGAAAATGTTAAATAACAAAATTCAAATTAATGGTGTTAATTTACTGTGTTTTTAATGTTTTTTTTAAAAAAATGTATGGACTTTGAAATTTAAGATTATATTTTCAACAAATATCAGAGTTTGTAAGTCCAGATTAATGTAGGCCTGTTGAAGGTTGTCTCTGTAGAACTCGTTTCACATTGTTTTGCATATACATAAGTAAATTAAGGGAGGGCCTTAATTAATTTTAATAATTATTTCTTAAATGCCTACCATGTGCCAGGCACTGTTCTAGGCACTGAGGATATAGATATACACACATGTATTTTTATATAAATAAATACATATATATGTGTGTGTGTGTGTATATATATATATATATATCCCCCCACTGAAAAAATAAAAATCCCTGCCCTGGTGAGGGTTACATTTTAGTAGGGAGAGACAAATAATAAACATAGCATATATTTTTCTTCCTTACTATGTTAGAAGGTGTTAAGGGCTATGGGAAAAAGCAGTGTCAGGGAGAAGAATTGGGAGTGTTGGGGCACAGTGGATTTGGGGTTGCAAAATGGTGTTTGCACCACTGATGAAGTGGGTTTTGAGCTGACTAGGAGATGAAGGAGTAAACCATGCACAGATGTGGTCAGAGAGAGTTTGAGGAGCACTGAGTCCAGTGTGGCTGGGGTAACGTGGTGGGGGGAGGGGGGCATGTTGGGCGTTGGAGCAGATGAGGTCTGAGTGGTAAGGAGTGGAGATGGGCATGGGTGGCTATTGTAAGGATATTGTGTTTTTTTACTCCAAGAGAAATGGGAAGCCAGTGAAGGATTCTGAGTAGTATGATAGACCTTGTTTCTACTCTCTCATAGTGTTCTATTAAAATTATAGTATACATAATTATCTTCAAAGCAGTTTTTAAAGACAACTTATGCAGTTTCTGTGTGCAGAGTTTTGAATTCTGATTAAGATGACTGTCCAATATTCAATAAAAACTAGTTGAACATCAAGTTTACCTAGCCATGCTGGTTAATAAAAACAACACAACACAATCTCTTTTGTAGATTGCTTTTGAGTATGTTCTTGTAGTTTGCATGTTTAATGACCGTATGCAGAAAACTGGGCCTTTGGAAAGGAAGAAGTACCTTAATCTTTACTGAGAACATAACGTCTGCTAGTCAGGCAATTCACAACTCTTATTTTATCTCCACCCCTGTTTGTGAGATAGGTATTGCTACCTTCTTTTAACATACCTGAAAAAGGAGGTTTAGTGTTTCTGAAGAGATGGCCAAGGTAAAGAGCTAGTATATGACAGAGCAGGGATTAGCAGCCTGGTCTCTGATTCCACAGTTTATTTACTCCTCTTCTTTTTTTTTTTAAAAAACCCAGCAAGCACCCCTTCCGTATAGGTGTGGAATTTTTGATTGGTTTCACTCTGGTTTCTTCCTTATATTGAATAGTGACCTAGTTGTTTCCATATCAAATCAGATGATCTGATGTAAACATTTAATTGAAAAATTAGAACTTTTTTGGTACATATGGTAAAAAAAAAAGTTGAAAGTAAAATTAACTTGTGGTTTTTTTGTTTTGTTTTTTAAGTTTTAAAAGAGCTGAGCTCATGTGAGTCAAGTGGCTCTTTTGATTTTGGCTTTGTAGGTTGGGTCAAGCATAATGAAAATCTGTGAGAAAGCCCCCTTTTAAATTTGAGTGTGTTGTTGTTCAAGTTGTGATAGTATTAGCCATGACATTTGATGAAGAGAGATAGTTCCAAATAGGATTCAGTTGCTTTGTGGACACAAACAAGCTCTTGAATAACCTGCTGACTATCTAGTTTACCTAGTCACTTTAGGTGTATACACCCCACCTAAGAAAAAGCAAAAGCAGAAGGGGAAAATGCCACTGAAATGTCTTTCATCACTTTGTTGAATCCATTTTATATGATTAGTACCTAATCATTTAGAGTGATTAAACTGCTTATTTGCATTGTAAAATTTTAAGAGAGATTTACTTTTCAACAGTTCTTTGCTGAAGAATTCTATTGCATCATACTTTCGAATCCCTCAACACTGAATAGTGTTCAGCAACAGAGATTAAGTTGAAGTACGTGGCCCATTCCTTTGTTATATTAGGATATTTTGTTTCAGTAAACATTTAAAGCACTTATTATACATAGGATTTTACCATTTCTAGATTTAGGGCTTGAGTAGATACCAAATCTTAGAATTAGGAAATTTCATTTTTCGAGGATCATTTATTCTCTTTATGAAACAAATATCCATGACTGTAGAATGCTAGTCATTATTGTAAGTTCTTTAACTGTGGAACTTTAAAAATCTCATTTAATTCTTTTTCGTTGTTGTTTTGTTTTCACCTCAGTAATCTTTTAGTTAATTCAAGATTTCTTTAGAAAAGATGTTTATGGAGAGGAGGAGCAAATTTAAATTAGCTACCTTGACTACTTGTTAAATGTTCAAGCAGTAAGTTTGGGAGAATCAGTTGAAAGACGATGGCTAACACAAGTATTTTAAGGAGGTTATTTCTATCCCATTATCAAAGATAATCAGGAATTAGCAAAAATAACTTTTTAATAGTCAAAACTGTCTTCTGTAAACCAGAATCAAAACATTTATTCCATTTACAGTGGTAGTCATCTTTTGAAAAATAATTCTGAGGATGGGGAGGAGAAAATCCTTTAAATTTTCATTAATGGAATATTTTTTAAAAAACTTTGAGGAAAATTATTTAAAAGCGTACAAAACCAGTTTGAATCTTACAGATATACTTCTGAAATATTTTTTCAGGTGAATTGCCATTATATCAATATAAAACATAATTGGGTACAACGATTACACAGTATAGTATATTATTCCACTTTTGACTTAGAAGTAATGCAGCTCCTCTCAAAGAAGAGTTCATTGTAACTGTCATTCAAAGCGCAGGAAGTGTAGGGATGAATGATAAGACCCACAGGCCTACCATGAGTAACTATTCTAAACTGCAGATTATAATTTACATGAATACTGAGGGTTTGGGTTTTTGTTTTTGTTTTGCTTAATATTTGAAATTGTATACATTTGCTTATATTATCTGGCTATAACCTGTACATGTTTTTTTTTCCCCCTCTGGGTTTCAAGCCTTCTCATTGGAAAAGGAAACCCTGACTTTCAGTGCCCCTAATTTTCCACCTCTGTATAGTTAAAGCTATAGATTTTGGCCATCTTTTTAAAAATAGACTATGACAGGACTATAAACACATTTTTCCTTCCTGATGAATTACTTGTCTTAAAAATAACCAATCCACCTCTTCTCCCCTCCCCCCTTCCCAAAAAACCCTGAAAGGAAGTTCTATCCTTAAATTAGTCTTTTAGTTAGTAAGGGAATGCTTAATTTGCAATTTTTAGTCAGAATACAAATTGTTTACATTTGAAAGGGAAAAGGTCAGTTGATTACTTATTTAACTTTTCCATAAAAATAGGTGAAGAAATATTGTTCACAATTCCCCTCTCTCCCCAGTGCACACAATAATTACTCAGTGGTTGCATTTTTGCCCTTTTTGTTTTCTCTCTTACTTGACAACAATGTAGAAGAAATGGAAAACTGCATGCCTTGAAGCCAGGCACCAGGGTTTCATTTCTGGCTCTGCTACTTTTTGGATAAGTCTGTTTAGATAAAATGAGCTCTGAGGCTTGGTCTCCTCATTGGTAAAACAGAATCAGTGATAACCACCTTGCAGAATTGTTAATAATTAAATACCTAGCACAGAGTTGGCACACAGTAGGAGCTCAAATAAACGTTAGCTACCAGTGTTCTGATTATGGTGGTTGTTATTCTTTCTTCTTATTTACATAAAATTACTTTTTTCTCTGGAGTATATTCTTTGTGAACTTGTAAGGAGTCCTTACTGTGTGCTAGTTACAGTTCTAAGAGCTTAACTTGAATTAGTTCAGATAACTTCACACCCTATTTACAAATGAAGAAATTGAAGCACACAGAGATTAAGTAATTTTCCCGAAGTCACACAGCAATTAGGGGGCACAGGTGGAATTAAAATCCTGCCAGTTTGATTTGAGAGTCTGCACTCTTCACCTCTCTGCTGCAGGTGGAAGGGAAGAGAGTTTCTAGCTACTCCTACCTAGATTCTTAGCCTGGCTTTCTGGTAGAACTTTACCCCTAGGTGAAAGTCTTCTCTAGGAGTAGGTAGTCTGGTTAGTTGAATTGATTTTTCTTGTACTTTTTTTTTTTTTTTTTTTTTTTTTCGGGGTGTGGGGGCCTCTCTATTGTTGTGGCCTCTCCCGTTGCGGAGCACAGGCTCTGGACGCGCAGGCTCAGCGGCCATGGCTCACGGGCCTAGCTGCTCCCCGGCATGTGGGATCTTCCTGGACCGGGGCGCGAACCCGCGTCCCCTGCATCGGCAGGTGGACTCTCAACCACTGCGCCACCAGGGAAGCCCTTCTTGTACTTTTGACTTCAGACCTATAATCTGTGAGAAGGCCTTTTATAGATGAGTGGTTTGGGATATTGGTAACATCTGGCTATATCTGCTGCATACTATGTATCATATGTGGAAAGTATGATTTTCTGGACTTAAACCAGCTCTTCTAAATTTCAGATGAAGTTAAACTGTTAGTCGTATGGTAAACACATGAGAACAACATACAGAGCTTTTAATGAAAATTATGGGTGATCATTACAGTGTTTGATTTTTTAAACATTTTTTTTTTGTGAGCTAGATTCATCAAATCCTGAGATAACTAGAATTGAGTTAGGAAATTAATTCCTTTAAAAATATAAAGGCCTTGGGGCTTCCCTGGTGGCGCAGTGGTTGAGAGTCCGGGAAGATCCCACATGCCGCAGAGCGGCTGGGCCCGTGAGCCATGGCCGCTGAGCCTGTGCATCCGGAGCCTGTGCTCCGCAACGGGACAGGCCACAACAGTGAGAGGCCCGCATACCACAAAAAAAAAAAAAAATATATATATATATATATATAAAGGCCTTGGTGTCTTTTTTTCTGGAGTTTAGACTGAATTTGAAACTTAAGGGTGAGAGATTGAAACTTAAGGGTGAGATTCTATTCAGAATAATAGAAATAATGAATTTTAATTTTTTGCTTTTAAAAATGTTACCTGTTGGGCTTCCCTGGTGGCGCAGTGGTTGAGAGTCCGCCTGCTGATGCAGGGAACGCGGGTTCGTGCCCCAGTCCGGGAGGATTCCACATGCCGCGGAGCGGTTGGGCCCGTGAGCCGTGGCCGCTGAGCCTGCGCGTCCGGAGCCTGTGCTCCGCAACGGGAGAGGCCACAACAGTGAGAGGCCCGCGTACCGCAAAACAAAAACAAAAAAAAAACAAACAAACAAAAAAAAAAATGTTACCTGTTAAAATTATTTTTATTTAACTAGAAAATAATTTTCCATGTTTATTGTTTTTCTTGATGGAAATACTTAAAAGAGGAATTTTATAACTTTATGAGCTTTTTTTTTTTTTTTTTAAGCCGTAGTTCCATTTATTATCCAGCAAACAGTAGGAGGACCAGAGTAGGGGCCCAGCCTCGACACCCTCCCATTATTGCCATGGATTGCTTCCCCAACCTCGAGGGCCTAGAGGCGCTTGGCCTAGGGGGCGGGTGGACCCAGCCCCGACTGCTGGGATGGAGCAGAGTCCAGATGGCCCTGGCCCTAGCACCAACTCATGAACCCCGACCCCAGGCCTGTCTACCGAGGGCCAGCAGAGCCCCTCCTGGAGCCAGGCCGACCAGACTCTGGGTTGCTGGGTCCAGCTCCAGACAGGCTGGACTCTGAGTTCTGGACCCTAGGCTGGCTGGACCCTGGGATCCCGATTCCAGGTTCCAAGTGGGGTGGACTTAAGTCCCAGACTCTGGGCTAGGCCTGGGGTCTTCAGGGATGCAGCAGGTAGCTGCCTTTTCGGCTGAGCTGGGCCGGGGGTGCCTTCTTGGGACAGGGGCCAGGGCTGGAGTTGGGACTGGATTTGGAGAGGGAGTCGATGTTGGCAGAGTTGGAGTGGCAGGCCCAGCAGAGAATGACCCAGAGCAGCAGCAGCAAGAAGCCTAGGAGGCCGTTGCAGATGATGGCAGTGAGGGCCCCCTGGGAGATGGCTGCCCTCATGCCATGATGGGCAGCATCCTCAGACAGGCACAGACTGAGAAGCTGCCTCGATGGCAGGGCCCATGTTGAGGCGGGACTCTGGTATAGCCGGCCTTCCAAGGAGGCTGTCCTGTCCACACACTCAATGATTCCCGGGCAGTGAAGATGTTCACCTGCAGTTCCGAGCCTAAGTTGAGCCCGGTGGGAGGTTCCCGGGCAGCGGTATGCTGGGCGAGACTGCTGCTCGGGAGCCTGCGGGTGGGAGGCGGGGCAGTGGGAGGTGGGCAGGGGTGACGTCCCCTCCCCCGGCCCTCCCCGTGGCCGCTCCCCGGGGCGCGCAGCATTATTTTTTTATTATAGTTTTTCTGAATCCCTATTCTTCTATCACAGTAGACTTTGTAAGTTCAGTGGTCATACACTTGACTATATGATACTTGGCTACATCCAAAGTATTTGATTTTTTTTTTCCCAGATAAACTGTTATTTTAAATGTAACTCTTAAATTTCTTGAGTGGAAAACAATTGCAAACATGCTAGATTTAAGTATTAAACAATGTATATTGATAACCAAATTTTCTTTTATTTTGGAAAGATGAGTAAGTAGGTGCTTTTTACTGGTTAGATTATAGTAATAATAGTATTTCTAACTTTGGTAATCTTTGATAAAGTTATTAGCTTTCGATTACAAGAGACAGCATTCCTTTATCTCCTTCCTCCTCTTTCCTCCCTTCTTCCTTTCTCCTTCCCCCCGTTTTTGCTAGAATTATAAATAATCAGGGTATATTCTGTATTTTATACATTTTACATACTTAACCAATATTGAATTTCCTTGAAAGTTTGATAATCTCCAGATAGTTTTCACATTTGAGTCCTGAAGATTGTATTGCCTAATCTTATTTAATGACCACTCTAGTTCCTTTTAAATAAGTCTTAAATAGTATGTACTACATTTGAGTGCTGAATCATTGTAGTTGTCATATGTTTTTGCTCTTAGGAAGATACCCACTGGGTTTGTAGTAGAAACAAAGACAACCCATCTGTTATTTCTTCCACCTCAGTTTTCTATCCACCCTCTCATCCCCTATAAAATAATTCTTTGCTGGCTAGATACCCTTTTTCTCTTCCTTAAGTTGATAGAAATTTAAACCTTTGAGCTGTACTCAGAAAATCAGAACACCTTGCCTGGTGCCCTCTTGTGGCCTGGGAAAAGGGGGTGGGAGTGTTGTAGCTCTCCTAAATAGGCTTGGGGAAAGGGCAGGTCTGTGTAGCCCACTCCAACTTTCCTCTAGGACAGCCTTTGGGACTACAGAATTGAGTACATCCTCCGTAGTGGGAGAACAAGTGTTAAGATTTATTCTAGGCACAGAGAGATGACAGAGAAATGGTCAGAGTACATTTTAAGTACAAGAAAGGGGAGGGTACTTATCAGACTTTGCAGAAATGGAATTGCTTATTACTACTTGGCCTAGCAGGAACTCAGACTATCAGTTCTCTGCGAGGTATCACTCATTAGCCTCTGTGGTGTTGGAAATGGGTAGCTGCAACCCTTTTTCTTAAAAAATATTGATATTGCCCCATGTACTGGAAATTTAAACCAGTTAAAATAGTTTCTATTTGCATATACATAGACATTATTGATTACATATACTTTCATTTCAAATAAGATACGAAATGGAGTTAAAGAATTCACTTACATAATTCTGTTATTAGTTTTTATGGATAAGACTGTTTTTTAACTTGGTCCCCCCAATTTTCTAATATTTTGCTTTCCAACAGGAAGTCTTTAGTAGAGTGAACAACTCTTTTAGGCTTGCACAAGTGACTTAAGCTGTGTTTTTCCTCCCTCTCTTCAACAAAACTGATTCAAGCTTCAGGGGAGAACACTGGATTTAATACTGTATGGTAAAACCCCCAATAATCCTGATTGTTTTGCTGCCTTTAACTTTTAGGAGAATGGAAAAAGGTTATACAGAAAAGTTATGTCAGGTTTAATTATAAAGTAATTTCCAGGTTGTGGCCTGTAGTTGTTATACTTCTAGGTTAATCTCCAGTACTTCGTACAGCATTGTACAGTGGTCAGTGATGATTATAGTGACCCTTAGGTACTTCCCTGTTCTTCAAAGGATTAAAACATATGTCAGTATACTATATCTCTTAGATACTGTATCTCTTATGTATACTATATCTCTTAGAAAAGTATACTAATTTTAAAAATGGCTCTCAGTAACAAAAGTTGAAATCAAAGTGGTTTCCTTTCAGTTAAACAGTATATTAAAATAAGACAGGTATCTTCCTTGGCATTTGATTTCATTGTGGGTTTGTTGCAATTGAATAACATCTTGAGGAGAGACTTTTCAAGAGGGAAGACTCCTAGACATTTGAGAGATGTGTCCCATAATAAGATATGAGTTATCGGGTGTCCAGAAGTGGTAAAGTTATTTGTGAAATAACGGGAGGTTAGTGAATTTATAGTTTCTCAATTTTAATGGAGAACAGAGATTGAGATTTTAATCTGTAATCCTAAGCAATAACATATTTACAGAGAGAGAAGAGTATGGCTGACAGATTAGACTCCAGGGTATAAAAGATAGGGTTGGTTTTCATATTTGATTTTGCATAGTCTTATTTTTACTCTGTGGTAGGTAGAAATATTTATATCTTTGGTAGCCTTTTTCCTGAAAACCTAAAAAGGTTTATAAATATGTACAGCAAGCAGTGTGATTTATGGAAAGATTACTAAGACCCAGATTCATGAGAGCTTTCTGTTCTTGTCCCATTTCTACTAATAATAACCTGGGTGATTTTTTAAAATAAATTCCTTAACCTTTGGGGTCTGTTCTCTCATCTGTACAATCAGGTGGTTGAGGTTTGTGATCTGTCAGTTTGGGCCAGATCAAAAATGCTGGGGTTTTCAGATGTGTTGCTTAAACCACAGAACACTGTATCTATTAATGTGTGTCCTCCTCACATGCTTTTTTCCCCTTCATTTGCAGTAATAGCTCAGGAAGAACCCAAGTATTTTGCTGAGAGATGGTATTAGGACTTGCGAGAGGGAAGAGTAATACTGGGGAGGCTGAAATTTCACAGGAGACTAGCTTGGGTGAGAGGAGAAAATGAACATGGCCCTTGATACTGGGAGAGAGTGGAGGGCCTAATTGCCTTGCTTCATTTTGCTTAGGGCTTAGATGAGAAATGAATATGTGTCAACACAAGGCCAGTGAGAGAAGGTTATTACAGTAGGCCTGAGGGTTAGAGAGAACGTCTACTAGATTCAGGCTAAGGGAAAGAGATGATTCTTTCAGGGTGAAAAAGAGAATTCTGTTAAAAATTACCTTTGTTGGAAGGATGCGGGGGGTGCTTGTTCATATTTCACTGCTTCTGATTTGACTGAAAATATGAGGAAATTCTATGGATAATTATCTTGGTTCCTGGACATGCGAGGAGAAATGCAGAGTTCTCACATTCTGTTGCTTTCTCACATTGGTAAAAATAGCAAGAAAACAAGGGGGTAGGGTAGGGGTGAGGTTGGGGAGAATTGCACCCCATATTCTTTATAATGGGTTTTAGGACTGCAACAAATACCTGTTAATCTCGTTGTTCCTCAGGGTCACTTGACTGTTCTGACTGGCTAAATAATGTCACCATTAGTGACGTTAGTGGTGGTCTTCCTCACCACTCCTTAAGCATCCCTTAGAGCTTTGTTGCTTGGTTAAGGTTTTGAGAGTAGCTCTCCTTCCCTTCGAGAGCCTTTGTACATGCTCACAGGACCCAATTTTAGGAGAAATGCAGGGTGGGTGAACTTCTGCTGCCTCTGTCCTAGTTTCTTTCCCCAAATGATACCAATTTTGTGTTTTAGATTTTTTAAAAATTTGTCTTTCTGATTAATAGATCGAAAATAAGTCTTGAACTAAACGTTTTAATATTTTATGAGGAAAAAGTACTGCTAAAAATGATTTAGTCAGCAGTATAGAAATACTTAGTCTTTTGTGATGTTACACAGAGTTTCAGTTGATTTTCTGGTTTCAATAGAACAAGTTGAAATCATCGCAGAAGGATAAAGTTCGTCAGTTTATGATCTTCACACAATCTAGTGAAAAAACAGCAGTAAGTTGTCTGTCTCAAAATGACTGGAAGTTAGATGTTGCAACAGACAATTTTTTCCAAAATCCTGAACTTTATATACGAGAGAGTGTAAAAGGATCATTGGACAGGAAGAAGTTAGAACAACTATACAATAGATACAAAGGTGAGTGTTTGCTTGTGACTTTAAATATTTTGAACGAGGTTTTCCAAATTTACATGCTTCTTGTGAGAAATCAAATGATACAGAGACCATTAATTGGGTGGATACAGAGCTCTTTAGATCTTAGAATTACTTTAAGAAATCTGAAAAATTATTTTCTTCTTTTCACTAAAATTTCTTCTTAGTGTCTTTATTTCCTCCCCCTTTATCCGCCCCCCCCACCCCCCGCCTTTCCTCCTTTGTGATCCAATTTGAGAATGGGGGCTGGGGGACTAGGTTTTTTCCCTCATTTTCTTATAAAACTCAGCTGAGTGGATTTTAAGAAAACCTGCCTAATAATTTTAATAACCTTTAAATAATTATAAAGTAATATACACTTAAAAAGTTAATGCAGAATAGATTGAATAAAGAAAATGTTAATAGTTTCTCCATCTTTTGCTTATTTATTCTCCTGAGGGAACCAATATTTAATAGCCTGGTGTCCAACTTTCTGTGTCTTTTATGTTTATGCAGAAATATGTATGCAAAAAAAAATTTCAAAATTTTTCCAAAAGTGGGATTATATTTTATGCATAGCTCATGCCCCAAAAATCAAAGGCTGTGCAAATTTTTTATTCCTAGAGATGTTAGCAAATCACATTTGACAACAGTGTATGAGTGCCTCTTTCTTCTTGTATTTAAATTTTTGCTGTCTGAAAAGTAAATATTGATAGTTGGGGATTTTCTTCTTTAATTTGAACAACAGATGTTTGTATTGTGATTAAAATTGAATGGCAGAGTTTATGTTTTTTTCGATATTCTTTAAGAAGTGATTTCTGTAGTGAAATGAACTTTAAGAAAAAAAGAATTTCTGTGTATAATACTGTTTAGAATGCCTCTGTAAAATGTGGCTATGTTCAGTAAAAATCCTTTATCCCTATATAGGAATGTCTGATTTTCTGAATGTGTGTGAAGTATGGAACTTTTTTCATATGAATAAATGAGACTTAAAAATCAGGTGCCTATCTGGATATATATCTTGCTGTTAATTGTAAGAATGCTGTTTTAGGGGCAAAGTGGCTTTAAATATTACAGGGGGAAAATATCTCATAGAGCAGTATTGCTTCATATTTTTGGTCTATCGTGATCATTTAAAAAAATGGAATGTAAAGCAATACCTTTCTCAGTTTCAGTAGTAGCACAGTAAAGTATGGCACTGATTTCATATTGCATTGTTGTTTTTGAAGATCCTCAAGATGAAAATAAAATTGGAATAGATGGTATACAGCAGTTCTGTGATGACCTGGCACTGGATCCGGCCAGCATTAGTGTGTTGATCATCGCGTGGAAGTTCAGAGCAGCAACACAGTGCGAGTTCTCCAAACAGGAGTTCATGGACGGCATGACAGAATTAGGGTGAGTGTATAATTACCATAGGAAATTAGGTACGTTACTGTGAGAATTACTGTGGAACTGACATTCGTGCCCCCAAACATTGCTATAGATAGAAATGGGCTAATATGCTAGTTCCTTCCCATGTCAAGTTATTTGTGTAGTTAGTACAACCTACTCTATTTGTATTATGCTTTTATCATTTGTTTCTAAGGGAGATTGACTAATGTTAAAATTACTATGCTTTAATATTTTATATGGGTAAGTGAAATGAGCAAGTTTTAAGTTATTTCCTAATGTGAGGCTGTGAACTCTGAATTTATAAACAAACTCCTAGAATTTAAAATCTTGGAAGTTACTAATCACTTTTTGTTCTGCATAGACCTGGACAACTGATTAGCTAAATGTCTTGGTATAAATAGATTGAAAAGTCACAGGTAGCGGTTTTACCTGTGGCCTTTAGTTGTCTGTATTTGATGAAGCTCCAAAAGTATTCAATTTGTGGATCGGTAACAGGCTGCCCTTTCTGTTTTTAGTGGGTGCTTTTGAAAGATAATAGCTAAACACTTTTTGAACGTTTATTTTCTTTCAGGAACTATGCTAAATAAGTACTGCACCTACCACTTCACAACAACTTTGTGAGAGAAGTGGTGTTTATATCCGCATTTTAGAGATGAGGAAATGGAGGTACAGAGAAACTAGAGAGGTAGTATTAAAGCCAGGATTTGGGCTCAGGCGTTCTGATTCTTGGGCCTGAGGGACATTGTAATCAGTCAGGGTCAAGGCAAGACACACAAACCATACCAGTAATTTGAGCAGGGTAAATTTAAAAAATTGTTTTATTGTGTAAATGGGGTAAAAGAAAACTCTAAGCATAACAAAGGTGGCAGTTGCAAGAAGCTGCCATCACCCCTGGAACGGAGGGAAGGAAACAAGGAAGGAGCCTAGACACTTCAGAGGATCCCCACAAGGCTGAGATTCCGACCGCAGAAAACAGTGCGTAGCTGCTGTAGGAGCACGCTGCTTGCCTTGCCTGCTTCTCTGGTGGAGAAGAAGCTCACTAGGGGCCACTTGCTGCAGAGCCATGCAAGTTGCCTCCATTGGTGAACACTGCAGGGACCTCCCAACACGCTGAAACCCTTGCTCTCTGCAGAAAACAGACTGGGATAAGAAAAGTTCCTTCGTCCTCTTCCAGCCTTTCATCGCCCTCTCTTGGTAGAACCTAATAGTGAACCAGCTGGCAAGAAAAATGAAGTTTCACAATTTGTAGTCCATTGCAGATAGTCACAAAGTAGGGCAAAGAAGGGTGAGTTTAAAGCCGAGAGACGATAAATTAATAACTGGCCTAGCCACTATGTTCTACAGCCAAAGCCAGCCTTATCCTGAACTTGCTGAAATGTTCTATGCCAGGACAGGTTTCATTAGAACTCTTTTTTTTTTTTTCCATTTAAAAGTGAGTTCATGTAAAATGTAATGAACTTCCAAATCAAAATTTTAATTTACAAACTAATCTGGGAGGTGTTATAAAGAGCATGGAAGGAACATAAAAGCAAAAATGATTTGAAGGAAAAAAAGTGGAATGCTTGGTTTGTGGAATCTATAACAGATCGAAGATTTCTACCTTATGGCTGTTATGTGGAAAGTAGGACTTGGTACTTGGACCCTTTCAGCTCCTTGGAAATTGAATGCTTTGCGCATACAAAGTTTAATATTGATTTGAGGTAACTTCAGTTGGAGATGGTTGGAGATGAGGTTTATTATGATACTTTGTATATATCAAGAAGTTTTCAAGAGGAATGCTTGTTTCCTCACCTAGTCAAGACACTATGCTTTCAATTTGTTTGGAAGCTAGACATGTGATTTGTTACCATGTAAGGAATATCTGCTACAGTTTGAACTGATGATTGTAAAGCTGATTACTATACATTCTCATCTGTTCACTACAGCTGACTTCTACAATTTGGATGTGTTGACAGTCCAGTGAATTACATAATTAAAAGTAATAGCCCATTTCTTTTAAAAATAGTAGTTATTTCTAACATTGAATCACCCCAGATCTTTTCTTCCTCCATGTAACCCCATACTTGTTTATGTAATGTAAAAAGATGAAAATTTAATGGATTTTTAAAGAAGTTCTATGAAATATAAACTGTTGTAGGAATAAATGTTCTTAATATATAGTGAAAAAGTTTATCTTTTATAAACTTAATTTTACACTATAGATGTGACAGCATAGAAAAACTAAAGGCCCAGATACCCAAGATGGAACAAGAATTGAAAGAACCAGGACGATTTAAGGATTTTTACCAGTTTACTTTTAATTTTGCAAAGAATCCAGGACAAAAAGGATTAGGTAAGAATTTTTAAAAATTATATTTGGTGTTTCAGATATATTCAAATACATTGACAGCATCACGTTTGTAATAGAAAGTTCTGTGTTTTGAGCATAAAGTCATTATCAGTTACTGAAAAATACTGAGAAACAGTGAACTTCTAGTTAATCAGAAAATACCCTGCCTATTCAATAACAGTGTTACCCTGGATACTATATGTGAACCACTGATTTTTTTTTTTTTTTTTAAGAACTACAGTACAGAAAATAGTTGTTAAAATTCCACTGACATAGGTATGTATGTTTGATCGTTTATTTTTCAGAAGATATTATAGGATCTTAGGCTCATAAGTTTTTCACTATGTATCTGTTGAAATAGCATTGTAAGATTTCTGAGTCACAGAATGCCAGATAAATGTATTCTTTTTTGGTGTGAATTATTTGGAAACTATAAGAAAGAATAAAAAAATGATTGTCATTCATAATCTTATCCAGAAATAGCCACCGTTAACAGTTTAGATCAGTCAGTTTATACTGTAGAAACAACCACACATTTGCTTTGGGGATGGCTAAGGGAAGTGGAGGTAAAAGCTACAGTGTAATTTGCAGATTATTCAGAAAAAGTAGACAGTAGCACATAATGCAAAATAATAAATATGAGTGTGAGGGTTTTAGAGAAAAGGAGAAATGAGTAAAAGCAGGAATGGTTGGGAAATGCTTCCTGGGCAAGGAGTGATGAGAACTAAAGGATTTGATATTTGCGCAAGGGATGATGAAAAATGTTCCAGGGAGAGGATAGTTATTAACGAAGGTCTAAGACTTCAGAAATAAGCTTGGCTTCTTTGTGGAAGAGAGAAAATGATTTGATTTTAGTGGGAATGTTTGTTTGGAGCTTAAATTGGTGAGATAAGCCTTCTTTTAAAAACAGGACAGAAAGGCTTAAATTGGAATTTATGGGCAATGGGGATGCACCGAAGATGATGGTGGCAGTAACAGCCATTTAATGTGGGGTTTTGGTGTGCCTGGCAGTGTGCTAAATACTTTACATACACTGCCTCATTTAGTGTTTAACAACTTTATGAGTTATTCATTCTTTCATTCAGTAATTCACCAGCTGCCATGTGCCAGTCATAGAGTGCTAGACATTTTTTATCCTTATTTGGCAGATGAGGAAACTGAGGCACAGCAAGTTAAATAACTTACCCAATGATGGAAGTGAGTTTTTGATTTTGAAGATACAGTAGTTGGAGAGGCTAATAGGGGCCTCTTGTACTAATCATTCTTTTTTAAAACATAATTCCTCCGTCATTTTGTTTATTTATTTATTTTTGGCTGTGTTGGGTCTTCGTTTCTGTGCGAGGGCTCTCTCCAGTTGCGGCAAATGGGGGCCACTCTTCATTGCGGTGCGCGGGACTTTCACTCTGGCGGCCTCTCTTGTTGTGGAGCACAGTCTCCAGACGCGCAGGCTGAGTAATTGTGGCTCACGGGCCTAGTCGCTCCAGGGCATGTGGGATCCTCCCAGACCAGGGCTCGAACCCGTGTCCCCTGCATTGGCAGGCAGATTCTCAACCACTGCGCCACCAGGGAAGCCCCTGTACTAATCATTCTTTATATTTTAGATTAGAAAAAAAGCTTTGAGAAAAGGATTATGTGACTAGGAATTAGACTGGAGGAAGTGACTGAAAGCTAGTAGAAGGGATGAATATACAACATTTGTATTTGAGAATTGGCCTAAAGAGTGACTAAATGTGACTGAATTAAGATTTCTAAAATACCTATTAAGCAATATTCGAAATAATGAAGTCTCCTTTCCAATTAATTTAGGTTGCATCTTATTCTTACAGGAAAATTCTTCATTTTGCAGGCAAAATAAGCTGGGATACCTAGTGTTAGTTTCTCTATCTTGTATCTGTGGCCACAAGTTAACTGGGCTAGTTTTTCTAGTCTCCTCTTTTCTTCCCACAAATAAAAACCAATTTACGGGGGCTTCCCTGGTGGCGCAGTGGTTGAGAGTCCGCCTGCTGATGCAGGGGACACGGGTTCATGCCCCAGTCCAGGAGGATCCCACATGCCACGGAGCGGCTGGGCCCGTGAGCCATGGCCGCTGAGCCTGCGTGTCTGGAGCCTGTGCTCCGCAACGGGAGAGGCCACAACAGTGAGAGGCCCGCGTACCGCAAAAAACACACAAAAAAACAATTAACGTCTTTGAACTTACATGTATATACTAAAAGAATTATTTCTTTGTGTTTAGAAATGTAGCACAATGTTTTGATACCATTAGAGAAAATGTTTTGAATCTCAAGTGTTGATTTAAAGGGGCTGAACCTATTCCTTAGTTATAACCCTACCCCTTACTAGAGCACAAAATAAATGATGTTTTTGGGTGACTATGTAGTCTTGATATTGAATCTTAGTTTTTATTATATTTGGTGAAGATAAAGCAAAATTAACATTTTTATAGCTGTTTGATATATCAATATGATGGTAAATTGGAATTTTAGATTACAGGAAAAGTTGAGAAAAATATTGTGCTGAAGGATTCGATTTTAAAATTACGTTTTATTCTATTATATAGTAAGTATTGAGCTTAAGAAAAATGTAACATTGTTTAATGGGTATAGAGTTTCTGTTTTGTAAGACGAAGAGTTCTGGAGATTCATTGTACAACACCGTGAATGTAACTAACACTACTGAACTGTACACTGAAAAATGGTTAAGATGATACATTTTATGTGTATTTAACCACAATTTAGAAGTTGTTTTATAAAAAGCCCTGAACCATAGAATATACAGCACAGAGTGAGCCCTGATGTAAAATACTGGACTTTAGTTAATAATATTGGCTTATCAGTTATAAGAAACATACCACACTAAAACAGTATCTTAAAAATAGTGGAAATGGGGGGAAGATGGGGTAAAGGTATATGGGAACTCTGTACTTTCTGCTCAGTTTTTCCATAAACCTAAAACTAAAAAAGTCTTAATTTAAAAAAAAGAAAAAAATGTAATAAAAGACAAATCATAATTTCTCTTTTTGTTTTGCATTGGTATTGGGTGTCAGGAAATGTAATGACTTGCTTAGTTGAAGAACTTAATTAAAAAGAAAACAGTTTTCTTGACAGCCTTCCTAAGGGTTCACAGGGCTCTTAAATTATAATATTTGGCAGAAAGGAATTAGGAGATCGTAGGAGAGGAGGTGAGGCCCAAACAAATTGGCAAAGAGCGACAGTGACAGCACTGCGGTTTATTTATAAATAGCTGTGCTAATTCTAATGAGAGCTGGTGTTTTCCATATTTTCTCATTTTCTATAACCTTATTTCTTGTGACACCAGGATAGGGTACTTCCTCTGTCACCATCTGCTTCAGTCACCTGCCATTTCTGATGGTCTTCTGAATCTTAAATTTGAAAGGAATTTCATAAGTCCTGTGTTAAATCTAACCTATGCAAGGTAGCACCTGTACCTGATGCTCATATGGCTTTTATGTTTGAATATACAGGGCGGGGATTGAACACACATTGTTTTAGAAAGTGGTCCATTCTTATCACAGAATACTCTTCCTTTGTCTTTATAACTTTTACCATTGTTCTTATTTGACCTTTGCTGCAGCACAAAGGAAGTCTAACCATTTTTTTTCTCATTTATCCCTTCTCCTTTTTTTCAGGTCAGCATTCCAAATTTTAACTGTTCTTCATTTGAGAAGACCTTTGTTATTCCGTTGCTGTCACCCCTAGATAACATTCCCAATTTCTCAGTTTCTCTCAAAATAGAGTTCGTAAAGCTGAACATAATACTCCAGAAGGAGGCTATTTAATGTAGAATACTATGGATCCGTTATTTTTTGCGAGACTGTTCATTCTATTAATTTGTTCAAAAATTACATTTGTTTTTTACAGCCATGGTATTTTTAGGACCGTTCTGAACTTTCTTAAAGTCTGTAGGTTATTTTCTTATGAACTGTTGTGGTTCAGCTAGAATGTTATTACCTGTGCAGTTGATTTAAACATTTTTAACATTACTTGTTAAACATTCATTTAATATTCAGAAATAATTTTATAGAGTGTTTTTAATGTGTATTTTCATTTACGTAATCCCATTTGTTTCTCATAACAGCCCTTGGAGCTAAGTAAAAAACTTCTTTGTCATAAAAATGAGGAAACTCATGGTCAGAGAGCCTGACTTATTAAGGTCACATAACTTTAGAGTTGGTAGAATTGGGACTCAGCCTCAGATCTTCTGATTCCACATTTTATATTCTTTTTATTATATTATGTTGTGCTAACTGTAGATATCTTTAGGTAAATTAAGACTTTGTGAATAGGATTTTAAATCCCCATTCATCCTCCCTAGTGAGTTGGCAACATTTTGTTCCCCTTAGGGATGGTTTTTGGATCCAGTCTCAATTCATTTCCATATTCATATGTCACTCAATTGATCATCTTTTATGAAACACATTGCCCTTGTTGATTCAGTCTGAAAGAATGACACTGGGATTATCTCTGTTTGCATTTTTAATTTTATTATAAGGGCTTAAGGATTCATTCTGCAAGTATCTCAATTTTAGGTAATACTATTATTAAGACTTGCTTGTATCTTTTTCTCTGTGTTATCCTTCTGTTTATTCTAACTGCTGTTGTTGCTTCTTGTTACATTATTATTGACTTTGTTCTCTTTCCAATACTGCTTCAGAATCTATAATAATAATTTTAAAAATTATTAAAAATAAACAATAGTAATAGTAAGGACACGTTATTTACCAGGCACTGTTCCAATGTTTTAGGTGTATTCACTCGTTTAATTATTACAACAACCCTGTGAGGGTAGATACTGTTATCTTTTTTTTAAACTGAATTACCAAGAGGTGAACTTAGTTGCCGGAGGCTACTTAATTAGTGGTGGAGTTGAGATTTAAGAAGCTAAACTACTACATTAAACCACTTCTCTCTAGCTGGGCTATTCCTTTGTCACTCAGACATTTCTAACTAAAGGGCAGCTTTCCTTCCTTTCCCCCCCTCCCCCCTCCCCTCCTTTCCGTTTGTGTGTGTGTGTGTGTGTGTGTGTGTGTGTGTGGCCGTACCGTGCGGCTTATGGGATTTTAGTTCCCTGACCAGGGATTGAACCTGGGGCCCTGGCAGTGAGAGTGCTGAATCCTAACCACTGGACCACCAGGGAATTCCCTAAAGGGCAGTTTTTCATATGCTTGTGGCAATTGACATTTTATCCCTGTACAACTTAATCTTATGTGTTTCAGCTCCTAATAATAACATTAATCTTTTTGAATATTCCTGTTTCATCCAAAAACATTTATTGGCTGGTTACTCTGAGAGCATAGAGTTAGGAACATCTTAAGTCTGTCTGGGTGAGTTTGCAAAGTCTTCAGAAAGATTATAATTTTTGAGCCTTGAAGAATGAATATATGTTTTCAAAGCCAAAAGAAAAAGAAGACATCTCTAATGTGGAGAGATTAGCAAGTTCAGTTGCTTAGAGTTGAGAGACATAGCACCTTTGAGAAACTGCAAGTAAGTTCATTTGACTAGAAATGTAGATTTTTATCTGAAGGCAGTAGGAAATATTGCAGATTTTAAAAAAGTTAATAGACTTTATTTTTTGAACTGCTTTAGATTTACAGCAAAATTGAGCAGAAGGTACAGAGATTTCCCAACTACTCCCTTCCCCCACACTGCATAGCTTCTCCCATTATCAAATCCCCACCAGAATGGTACATTTGTTACGGTTGTACCTACATTGACACATCATTATCATCCAAAGTTCAACTTCACGGTAGGGTTCACTCTTTTTTTCTTTTTTTAATTTTATTGAAATATAGTTGATGTACAATGTTGTGTTAGTTTCTGGTGTATAGCAAAGTAATTCAGTTATATATATACGGGATACATATAAGATTCTTTTCCATTATAGGTTATTACAAGATATTGAGTATAGTTCCCTGTGCTATACAGTAGGTCCTTGTTGGTTCTCTACTCCATATATAGTAGTGTGTATATCTTAATCCCATACTCCTAATTTATCCCTCCCCTAGGGTTCACTGTTAATGTTGTACATTCTATGAGTTTGGACAAATGTATAATGACATGTATCCACCATAATATCTTCATACAGAGAAGTTTCACTCTCCCTAATAAACCTCTGTGCTCTGCCTGTTCATCCTTTCCTCCCTCCTAACCCCTGGCAACCACTGATCTTTTTACTCTCTCCATAGCTTTGCCTTTTCCAGAATGTCATATAGTTGGAATCATGCAGTATGTAGCCTTTGCAGATTGACTTCTTCACTTAATATTATTATTATGCATTTGTTTTCCTCCGTATCTTTTCATGGCTTGAAAGCTCATTTCATTTTGGCACTGAATAATTTTTCTTCATCTGGATGTACCACAGTTTATATATCTGTCTACCTACTAAAGGACATCTTGGTTGCTTCCAAGTTTTGGCAGTTATGACTTCTGTAAACATCCATGTGCAGGTTTTTGTGTGGATATAAGTTTTCAGTTCATTTGGGAAAATACCCAGGAGTGTGATTGCTGGATCACATGGTAAGCGTATGTTTAGTTTTGTAAGAAACTGCCAAACTGTTCCAAAGTGGCTGTACTATTTTGCATTCCCACCAGCAATGAATGAGAGCTCCTGTTGCTTCACATCCTCGCCAGCATTTGGTGTTGTCAGTGTTTTGGATTTTGGCCCTTCCAAAAGGTGTGTAGTGGTATCTCATTGTTGTTTTAATCATTGAAGAATTTTAACATGGAAGTGAAACCAAATTTATATGCCTGAAAGGTCCATCTGAAAGCAGTGTGGTCCTTTAAAAGGTGTGGAGGCAGAACTAGAGGAAGAGAAATTGGTTATGAAGCTGTTGCAGTGATTTAGCTAGACATGAAGAGGCCCCTAGCGTAGGCCCTAGCAAGGGATGGAGAAAAGAGAGAGATTTAAAAGGTGCTTAGAAGCCAAAATGAGAAAGCTTTGATTGAAAGTGTGATGAGGAAGTTAGTCTTAACCCCCATTTGGGGATATTTGGAAATGTGGGGGGGGTATTTTTGGTATTGTTGTAACGACTGAGGGCTTCTACTGGGATTAGGGGTCTGCTAAATGACCTGCAGTGCATAGGACTTCATTTCCTTACAATGAAAAATTGTGTTTCATTGAGAAACACTGTAGGGTGATGACATTCATTGAGAGAAAAGAAAATGGTAGGTCTGTAGTTCAGTTTGAGCCCTGTTGAATTTGAGTTGTTTGTGGATATCCAGTTGAAGATGTCCTTAGGCAATTAGATGTAAGAATCTAGAATATAGAAAGAGCAGTTTCAGATTTAGGACTTGTTAGAGATGGTTTGAGCATATAACTTGAAAAAAGGTAAAGGTTTGAAAAATCTACTGAGAGAAGTAGAGGTGGTTATTGCTGACGTACAGTGTTATAGAACATCAACATTTAATGGAGAAATGGAGGAAGAGGAGCAGTAAAAGAAAATAAGGCCAGAGAGGACAGAGGAAAATCAATAGAGTGATACCATTAAAGCTGAGAGAAGCGACAGTTCCATCCAGGAGGTGTACTCAGTTTTGTCAAATACGGCAGAGAGCCAAGTAAATTAAGGACTTAAAGGTTTATTTGGCAACCAGAAGGGCTTGGTGACCCTTCAGAGATTACTTTCAGTGGGGTGAGTGACGGAGGTGGACACTAGTTTATAGAATTAAAATGTGTGGTAGGTGAGGAAATTGGACAATGAATGTAGATTACAAAAAGTTCTTTTAACTACCTGAACTTTCAAACATCATATATGTACACTCCTATTCTTGTAAGATTCTTAGGTTAGTATATCAGCTGAGAAATGGGCCTTTATAGGTGTCTCATGGTTTACAGTTATTTGAATATTTCATTGTTTCTCATCCTTATTTTCTAAAAATTAATTGAAAAGGGAAAAAAATGCTAACACTAGTAATAAGCTTAGTTCTCATAAATTTAATGCATTTGAAGTGAAGAAGGATATCATTAAGCATGCTAATAACAGCAAATCCTACTATACATGCTAATAAGAGCGATCTTACTGCACTTAAGCTAGACAATTATATGTTTGGTTGGTAAAGAAAAGAATAAAATTAAAGAACCTGGAAGGAATATTTGGTATAGAGCTTTAAAGACTGCAAAGATTAAAAAGGAATTGTGATTAGTTAGGGGTTGTTGTCATATTTCTAGTTCTCTTAAAACATGGGGATCTGAACTGGACTTTCAGACATGTTTTCATGAGCACATTAAAAATAAAAGTAGAAGACTCATGTACTCTCTCAAGATGATCTGTGAAGGGAAGGAGAAAGAGGGTAGCTTGTAAGGGAATGGAGAGATACAAGAAAGATTTATTAAAGATAGGTGATAACTTGAGCGTGTTCCTTTGTGGAGGGGAAAGCTGGAAGACAGGGCAAAGTTGAAGATACAGGGAGAGAAGAAAATTAATCAGTAGACCAGATTCCTTGAAAAGGCAGGATGGCATATTGGATCCGTAATAATGGTGTTAGGGGCTTAACCTTGGATGGGAGAAGAGGCACCTTTTCCAAGGAAACTTGTTCATTCAGCAGTTTCTGAATGCCTACTGTGTGTTTCATTCTGCTAGTTTGGGGATATGTAGTCCCTATCCTTGAAGAGGTTAGGGTCTAGTGAAGATGGGGGATTTTTTGCCTTATGTCCTATATGTTTTTTTTCAGGTAGGATGTGAGTCTTTTTGGAGTCTTTCCTAGTCTTTCATGATTCCTCAGATTATCCAGAGTAGTTTGGAGATCATATCTAAAAGGACTTTTAAGTTACTTGGGATGTAATTTTTCCTGACCTGGAAATGTAAATTTACTCATAAAAGCTTGACCTAACTACTTTAGTTCTTTGAAAGAGATCATAGTTCTTTCTCTCTGTTGTTATGACAGATATAGTTTTTTGTCATGTGGTAATATTGCTTCTTTATCCTTATCGGCTCCAAAACCAGTTAAATAGTCATTTATATCCTCTTCATCAGACTTTTAAAAAGACAAATCTTAGTTTATTATTAATTTTAAATTTTTAATATTCTTAATGGTCTCCTTGAGGATCAGTCAGCCAACAACTTGGAGCGTAAGATTGGTTAGGATTGTGGGTAGTAATTCTTTGCATTACAGCTTATAGGTGTACCTCAGTGATTTACAGCTGGGGGCAGTTTTGCCTCCCAGGGGACCTTTGTCAATATGTGGAGATACTTTTGGTTGTCACCACTGGGGATGGGGCAGAACTGCTACTGGCATCTAGTGGATAGAGGCCAGGGATGCTGCTAGTGCTGTAATGCACAGGACAGCTTCCCACAACAAAAAAATTATCTGCCCCAAAATGTCAAAAGTGCTGAGGTCAGGAAATACTGGTGTACATTAATATTTGAATACTTATGAGCTAGTCAAACATGCTTACCTACGTTATCTTATTTAAACTTCAGAAACCCCTTATGAGGTAAGTGATATCCTTCTTGCCCTGAAGGCACCATTCATTTGTGATGGAAGCAGGATACAAAGCTTGGACTTAACTCTATAGGAAATTTTTATTATGTAAGTATTCAGGACACAAGCCTTTTTTTTTTTTTTTTTTTAAAGGCTATCTTTTGTCTTACCTGGTGTTTTTTTTTTTTCAGGGACAAATATTCCTGACATTTGAAGTATATAATTTATTTTTAATATTACAGATCTAGAAATGGCCATTGCCTACTGGAATTTAGTGCTTAATGGAAGATTTAAATTCTTAGACTTATGGAATAAATTTTTGTTGGTAAGTTCATATTTTCTGCAGTTCGGTGTTTTCTCTAAACTTTTGCTTTGTTTGAAGATAAATTAACATTTTAAAGCATAACTAACTCATTTCAGAGCATGTAATGGACATAGAATGAAAAATTTGATTTCCAGAATTTTATTACATAGGTTGTTTTGCATTCTTGTATTTGGTATCATCTGGACTGTTTTTTTGAAACTCTTTTTAGTGATTTGGATGCTGCTTTTTTTTTTTAATAGGAACATCATAAACGATCAATACCAAAAGATACTTGGAATCTTCTTTTAGACTTCAGTACAATGATTGCAGATGACATGTCTAATTATGATGAAGAAGGTAATGAACATTTTGCTCTATCAGTTTTTTGAAAAATTTGTCTTCTTTTATCACACAGTCTTGAACTTCTTGTCTACTTCTGTTTTTCTTAGAGTTAATTTCCTTCTTCTGAGCTTTTATTTGTGCTCTTCTGAATGTATGAAATGCCTTCATCCTCTTTACCAATCTGCATTGTTTCCTTAAATACCAATTCTGTGTATTCATGTCTTCCAGAAAGGCATGAGTACTTTTCATCCATGTTTTAGATTTTCAGTTTACTTTAAGAACCTATTCTTTTCTTAATGTACTTTTATAGTACTTGTATATGTATTTTTTGTTGTTGTCTGTTTGTTTTGTCTGTGAACTTGATTGTAAACTCCTTAAGTTTAGTGACCTTGTCCAAATGGAAACGGACTTTAGTTTCCTACTGTAGTACTCTTGGCATTCAGTAAATATTCACTGATTGAATGCTTTTCTGCTGTTTCTTCATGTATGTATAAGGATGATTTTGCCATCCACTATCAGGACATGTGCTTTTGTTTTTCTGGAACTGGCAGTGATTTACATTTGTTTCTTCACGCATACTTACCTAGTTCCCCTTGAGAATTAGCAGGATTTTTTTTTTTTGATATTGTTGAATAGGCAGAGGTATTTTTTGAAAAATCTCTAGTAACCTTGGTCTCCTTAAAAGTGTCCTGGAACTACTTAATGTAACCAAAGATAATGTTATTTCCTTATCTTTGTTTTCATTGTCATGTATTGTCTTCTTTAAGAAGTGAGAAATGACTGATAATTGATAATTGTGCTTTCTGTTAGACCTTACACAAAAGTGAAGAACTTCCTATTTGGAGGTTGGCATAGAGAAGAGGCATGTATAGAGGCATGCGTATATGTAATTTAAAATCCTTTAGTAATTTATTATCATGAAATAGGTTAGAGTTTGATCCTTGCTGTTAATTTCCTTTGTAAGATTGCCACAAAGTGCAAAAAAAGATTAACTCCAACCTACTGTGCTTTCAGCAGCACTGGCAGCATGTCATCATATCAAGGTCAGATTTGACCAAATTACTTCAGTGGCCTGGCTTCAGTGGCCTTCAGAAAACCATAATATTATTAGTTACCAGAAGGGTTATTTTTTTATCATTCAAGGAATTATCAAGTATTGGAATAATAGAGAAGAGAGAAAGGAATACTCTAGGTAGAAACTCTAAAGAGCTAGAAATTTGGAAGTCCTATCAGTGGGAATACTTATAATGACATACTTTAACAATTATGGGGAAGATATTTTAAAAAAATAAAGGATTCTATTAAAATGTTAGCCTTATTTCTGCTTTTCTTTCTTTCCTTTCTCCCATCCCCCCCCCCCCCCCCCCCCCACCACAGGAGCATGGCCTGTTCTTATTGATGACTTTGTGGAATTTGCACGCCCTCAAATTGCTGGGACAAAAAGTACAACAGTGTAGCACTAAAGGAACCTTCTAGAATGTACATAGTCTGTACAATAAATACAATGGAAAATTGCACAGTCAATTTCTGCTGGCTGGACTGAACTGAAGATCAATCCTCACAATTCAGACTGAGGGTTGAGACAAAACTTTAAGGATACATCTTGGACCATATCGTATTTCATTCTTCTAATGGTGGTTTGGGCTTGTCTTCTAGTCTGGGCCGCTCTAAACATTTATTATTCCAACATTGTGGATTTCATCTTATATCTGTGGACCATCCTAGTTTATTCTCCCATAAGTCTTAGAAGCTTTATGGTGATTATTTTGAAGTTTCCATTCTTGCATAAAGCACAATGCTGTCTTCATCAGAAAACAGTTTGGCATAAGAATTAAACATGTGAACATCACAATTTATAAAAACTTCTTAAATATATGCTTTGGGCTAGTTGCAAAGACTATGCTGATAGCACTTCCAGTGAGAGTGATATATTTAAGTGTACCAGATCTGGAATGGTGTTTTGGTATGGGGGGATTTTTTTTTTTCCTGGCAAATCACATGTATTGTTAACGTGAGTAGAGTATCTGTTGAAAAAAAAGTCAAAATAACCAACGTGAAAAATTTTTAGGATAACTTGGTGTGCCTACCCAAAATTTTACTGTGTTTTAGACCCTCGATTTCAGAAGGTTCCACAGATCTAGTCTGCACTTATCTTACCCATGTTTATATATAGTTGTCTTACAGGGGGTTTTATTTAGAAAAACATCTGCATAATGTTAGATTCTACTCCTGTCTACATTATGCACTCCATAATTGGATTTCATTATGATTTTGAAACGCTGATATGCCTGTCGAGTAAGTTAAACTATTTAATTTGTTTTGAATGTTTTAGATTGCTACATAATACAATATTCTAAATTTAGGCATGAGGGTTTATTTTTGTTTTTTGGGGTTTTTTTGGTCAGCGCACTATGGAACACAAATGAAATTCTCTTAATTTATAAGAAGATAGTAGGAATTAAATTTTGAAAATGGTTGTAATGAGCCGTAAAGTTCAATTCTTATAGGTACTGCTCTTTCAGACAAATAGTCCATTTTTGATGACTTCTTATTTTGTTGAAGTTGCTTTAACTGCTAATCACTGTGGTTGCCAAATATTTCAGGAGCAAAGATTTTCAAGCAGGCATGCACTTGATGCAAAGTACCAATCTGGCTTCTATTTTCGTAAATTATTTAATTTTTACTGTTCTTTGTTTCACTCAGATTAGCTCAGTTTTCACATCAAAGCAGCACTCTGTCTTGTATGTTTCTTTTTTTTCCCTTCATTACAAGACCCATGAACTGCTTTCATGCTGAAAATGTTCATTTCTTTGTTCACTTCTTGACCTGTGAAGAAGGGTTTATTGCTTTCTTAAACATTTCTATAAGGCAGGTTAAAAAATGTAAAATTTCTGATATTGGATGACTGGTTTTTAGCAGGAGTAGATTTTGCTTGGTGTATCCAGGCACTCTAAGTTCTAATGTTGAAATTATCAAAGGTATGTACTTCAGAATAGCAGTACATTATAAGGTATATGCGGAAATGATTTTAAGAAACAATGATATATTAAAACTACTTTTTATTTACGATTTTGAAATTGACTAGAAAGCTTTCCCCATATATATTAATATTCTAATCATAACTTTAATTCAAGAATATGATTCTATCAAAAGAAAATTTTGAAAATTTCTATTCAGGTTACTGGAATTGGTTATTAAAAAAAGAAAAGAAAAAAGAAGAATCCTCCTGCTTTCAGTATTTCCTGATTTCATATTTGTAAATATTAAGAGGAACTTCAATTATGAAAAATTTTTAAAAGATATATATATATAAATGTACTATTTTGTTTCCTGTCTTGAAGATTTTGAGTTATGGTATTGTTTTTGAATTGATTAATTAATTCCGGTATGCTGTGTTTTGAAATGAGATCCGATTAGCTTTTTTTCCCCAATATAAATTGTTTTTCATAAAAGTCTGATATTGATTCGTGGCCTAGTGCCTTGGGTTTTACAGACTTTTCCTTTTAAATGCAAGACCTTTTCAACAAAATAGTGTTTGTCATCAGTTTGGTACTAAACATTTATAATTACTATGTAATTATAAACAGAAAAATACATAAAGCTTTGAATATAATCATGTAGCATAAAAGTTAAGGTTGTTAACTCTATGATGGCATCTTAGAATTAAACAATACTATTACTAGGGCTGAAAAGAGAAGACTGATTTAATGTGGTGTGGTTATTCTGAGGATACATGTCTGGTTACAGGGAATATTTTGTACTAAAAAATGCTTACACATAATGGCCGTGTGTGTGTGCGTGTGTGTGAAAGAGAGAGATTGACAGGTTGAAAGAGACACATGCTCACACACACACACACACGCACACACACACACACAACTTGAATTGCTTTAATTCATTAGTGTTTCAGTCTTCATTCTGGTAAACTCCCCATGCTGATTCTTTGTTTTAAACTGAACCACAGGTACAGTTTCCTTTTTGCCAAATGTCAAAACAGGTACACATTTTACAATGTAATGCTTTTTAAATAGTAAAGTGTATAAAATTAGAAGTGCCCACATATAAAAATACTTGAGATCAAGATTATCTTTAGTGACTATCATCTGCATATCTCTGTAAGTTCAATTGTGTTTCTTACATCCCTGTCATATTACCAACAGAGGCAATAAAAGCTTCAGTGAAATTGCCATGACTAAATCTTTTCACATATTATTTCAGTGTAATACTTTTAAAGACTAAAATATACCAGAAAACTTTTCCAGAAAGGATAATTATTTATGGAAAGAGCATTATAATGGCAAGTTTTGGGGAGAAAAGACATGCCAAGTCTTGTTTACTACATTTAAAATGTTTACAACTATACTGGGCTGCTTTATTTAATTAACAGTACTGTAGTTGTGTAATACGGCTTTGTAAGTATGTGTTCTTCATTAGACTTTTAAAAAGTTTTAATGAGAGAAAGAAAACTTAATAAAATAACATGGGAAATCTTTTATATAATATGCTTACTGGGGAATTCTTATTTAAGCAAGGTATAACTATTTTTTTTCCTCAGAAAGATTTAAGTGAATGAAGTATTCATCTATTTTT